ACAAAACAAAACAACAAACAGTGCTCCGACGGAAGGATTGTATTCACAATCCAGCTGGAAACACTCTAACTCACCAGAGTTCTCATTTATAAAGGTAACCATTCACAAAACATACACACATACAACCCATACTCACCAACGTTTCCTACCCCAATAGGATCGCGGGCGAGCCCCCAATTTATGTTACGGCCAGCTCGTTTCGGCCGTACATAAAGTAAACAAGTACACCAAAAATGACTTGCAAGATTTTATTCGTCCTCAAAAATCACAATAAACTGAATATAACAAAGTCTAGGGTTTCAAATCAAAAGGGTAAAAATCATAATCCGGTTGGGGAGTAAAAGAAGGTTGGTATGGGCTGTAAATCAAAGGTTCGAATGACTTCGCCAGAGGCTGTCAATCCCCTGGACGAAGTGAAGATGAGATGTTCAATCCAATGTTTTATCCTCTTCATAATCAAAGATAATCAGGAAGCAGGTGTGTGCGATCTCCCACGCTCTCTCAGAGCAACACCGCCACCAGCAGGCGAGCAAGCAGAACACAGGGTCGTAACAGGATAAACAGAGAGACTAATATTAGCGTAGACGCCATTCTTCTTATGATGTAACGAGTACATCTGGATTTATGGGAAGTGTTCCCGGTTCCGGCTGACCTAATCTATGCAGCCTAACATTAAATTATAGAAGTCTATAGTGTGTTATGTGTATGCTAGGTCAAAGAGATGTGTTTTTAGTGTAGCTTTGAACTGACAGAGTGTGTCTGCTTCCCGGACAATGTTAGGAAGACTGTTCCAGAGTTTTGGTGCTAAATAGGAAAAGGATCTCCCGCCTGCAGTCGATTTAGATATTCTAGGTATTATCAACTGGCCGGAGTTTTGAGATCGCAATAGACGTGAAGGACTATAATGCGTTAAGAGCTCGCTCAAGAACTGGGAGCTAAACCATTTAGTGCTTTGTAAGTAATCAAAAATATTTTAAAATGTATACGATGTTTAATAGGCAGCCAATGCAGTGTTGACAGAACCGGGCTAATATGGTCAAACTTCCTGGTTAGCGAATTTACCCATGATTCATGGCGGGTTTGAACCGGAAGCCGGTTGTCCTTTTCCGGTTCGAAGCTTTGTGAAGATTAAAGCAGCACTCAGTAAGAATTCCGTTTTTGTCAAACAGCGCCCCCTAGAGTCGCTGTGGAGTACTTGTACTGTCGTGAATAGCACTCACGGCCGGATCCCCTCCCCCTGTACACCGGTACCTGTTCAGTAGGATGGACGCTGTAACGAGTGGAAATAAGGTATGGCCCCTTTAAGAGCTGCGCGCGCCCAACACCACATGTATACGGCGCCGGGTTATTTCTGTTTGATGCTCATTTTATCAGATCTGTTTTTTGCCGTAAAGCAATTCGTTACCTCGCGAGACCTGATATCACACGATACTTCGCCGGCCCAAAGTTGCAAGGGTGGTTTTGCGGCTCACAGGCACCAGGGGGGTGCGAGACGACCACCATTCAACACGAAATCAGTAATATAAACATTACAATGACTCCAAAGCTGTTCGGTTAAGGTAAAAAAGTTACTTAGTTCACCTTCAAGCGCCGCTCGCTCAGAACGCCGCAGTGATGTGCTGGTTAGAAAATATGTGAAATAAGTAGGGCTGCCCCTGCCCGTGCACGACTGAAGTTGGGTTGGAAGTTATGTATACTATATGGGAGAGAATGCTAAACCATAATGGGCGTTTTCGTAATATATTGACTATTCTGCATCACAACGGACGCATAAAGCTTGCCACAAAAAAACGGCAAAAGTAATGATTATGCATGAAACATTTGAATTGTTTATTAATAAACTAGTGTTTTCTGTAAGTGTCGACTGCAAAGATAAATTTGATGATGCTGACTCGCCATGTTCGCAGTAGAGAATGCACACTTCATACGAATTAACCTATACATAAGCAGAGAGCAGCCCATTTTTGCTCGTTTTTAATTATTTTGTTTAAAAGTACATATTTCAAGCTTTCTGTAGATATACTTCTCATGTATTTGAGGCAAGTCACTTATAGCCTATACGCTGAGTTTCGTTGATTAATAAGACGCGCTCCAGTTCACGCAGCCGCGGCTCCGTGTCCTGTATATATATTTGCTTCTTATTTATTAGTATTCCAGGCAATTTGTTGATGAAACATTGATTAAAATTAAGATACAATTTATACAAAACGAAATTCACTTTAAAGAAAAGCTTTCTACAAAACAAAACTTAATAAGTGGTCAAAATCATGTCTGAGCCATTCCAAATGTTTTCCGATATATTGGGCATCTTATGATCATATCTGACTCATCCCATGCGGTTCCCTTTTCATATAATCAACATAGATGAAATAAATAAATAAAAACATTATATTGTGAAACTTAAATATAAAACGTATGTTTAGTTTTTTTTTTTACTTATATTTAAGCATCACTGCTCCGCTTTGCTCATGTGCTCTGGTGTGTAGCTTATAGTGTGTGCGTGATGTGATGGAGGGGTGCGATTTTCGAATAATAATTGAATAATACCCAGCGATCTTCGATTATTATTTTTGCTTGAAATGCCCATCCCTACTGTTAACGTATTAGGCGTTTGTCAACAAAATGGTGCGGAGAGACATACACCTTTTTCGTTGGATGCTTCAGTTTTAGCGTAGCTAACCAAAAACGTCTACTCTCTAGCATTGAATACGAACCGGACATGGGCATTCTCTCCTTTTTATCTTATGCTCAAAGCACCCAGTTTCTAAAAAGTTTTTTTAAAATCTAATTTGAATTGTTAAAACAACCAACAACAGCACGTAGAGCCTGAACTCATTCTCTCACTGCTAATACAGTAACTTACGAACCGGAAGTAGGCAACCGGAGTCGTCGTCATGGCGACGCGCATTGTTTAGAGCAGAATAAGGTGGATATGGTCATACTTCCTGGTTCTGGTAAGAACTCGAGCGGCTGCGTTTTGGACCAGCTGTAGTTTGTTTATTTAGCGTGCAGGGCAACCACCCAGTAGAGCATTACAATAATCTAGCCTTGAGCTCATGAACGCATGAACTAACTGTCAATGAGAGCATATGGCGTAATTTAGATTTATTATTAAGATGAAAAAATGCGGTTTTACAGATACTAGACACGTGACTTTCAAATGAAAGATTGGTATCAAAGAGCACACACACACACACACACACACACACACACACTCTGATGAGAGCGGTCTCAGTGCTATGGTACGGTCTAAATCCTGACTGAAGATCCTCCAGATATCATTTCTTTCTAGAAAAGAGCACAGTTGTGAAGATACTGCCTTTTCTAGTATCTTTGACAGAAAAGGCAGATTCGAGATCGGCCTGTAATTGACTAATTCTGTAGGATCAAGTTGCAGTTTTTTAACAAGCGGTTTAATCATAGCCAGCTTAAAAGTTTTTGGTACATATCCTAATGACAAAGATAAATTAATGATATTGAGAAGAGGATCTATGACCTCTGGAAGCATCTCTTTCAGTAGCTCATGTGAACTGTGCAGATGTTGTTTATCCGAAAGGTTACAAAGTTGCAACGCTCAAAGTTGAAAGCAAAGGGAGAGATTTGCTTTTAAAGAAATTAGTTTTTAAGGACTACAACAAACGGCTGGTAGGAACTACACGAGCTTCCTCCCGGGTTAGTGACATCACCAACCCTAGTATTTACATAACCCCGCCCCCGGAACACGATTTATAGATTATCAAGACAGAATATGCTAATCAATTACTAGAAGATAACTAAACATAAGCTACATAAACTCATCAACTAACCATTCAGAAATGTCCTGTTGCTTCTACATGATGTCACTTCCTCTCCAGTCTCTCCATCACTGTCCGACACCGGTTTGAACATAAAAGGCAGAACAGTTTCTGACATTTTAGTGCTTGTCTGCGTGAGGTAATCAGAGCTGCTAACACACACACACACACACACACACACACACACACACACACACACACACACACACACACACACACACACACACACTTGAAGCTCCGCCCCCTGTGCCGGGAGCAGCAGCTCATTTGTATTTAAAAGAACAGACACAAACCGTGTGTTTTTGCTCCACCATTAAAAAAGTGACCATTTTAACATGCTATAGCTATATATATATATATAAATATCTGTGGGGTATTTTGAGCTAAAACTTCACATACACACTCTGGGGACATCAGAGACTTATTTTACATCTTGTGAAAAGGGCATTATACCACCCCTTTAATAGGCTGTTGTGTCCAAATGACTATTTAGTTTTATTTTATTTCTCACCAGTCTTGTTGACTGGTGCTCTGATTTGATCGAAGGTGGTACTTGTCCTGAAAGGTTTTAGAACCACTGATGTACACAATCATAAATCTGACTCTAAACATTGTATTACATCAAAACATTTATTTTGTCATAATAACCAACCATGAAAGCTTGTCGTTTTATCATTGTGTCACTGACTGTGTTCTACAAATGTCAAGAGAACGTGTATCACATGAAGTAAAGAAAACTTAGTATGAATGTAAATATATCCATGCATTCATGAACATAACAGATAATACTATAAAACAAATTCATGACAAGAAATGTGTACGTCAGAGTCCGGCCGACGCGTCACGTGACACCCGAAACATTTCTCAGCGCTGCCCAGGATGGACCAATCACTTCACACAATTAAACTAATCAATATTTTTAAGATTATAAATTATAGCCTATCAACTTTTCTTTTGTAATATTTTTCCAATTATTTATGGAAGTTTCTTTATTCAAAATTGCAATGGTCGAAATGATAAAATTACAAAATTATTTCGTTAGAAAAAAGGCGAGTACTTATTTTATGTTTATTTGTAACATTTTCGAAATCCATGATATCTCATTAATAAATCTAACCCTTTTGTATTAAATATTTTATGTTCGATTGTTGAAATGATTCCGAGGCATACATTAGTCTCTTTAAATCCGCGTCCAATCAGTGAAATGGGTACGAAATTTGAAAGGTGGAGCCTCACTGACCCGCTGCTCACCGTCTCTCTCTCTCTCTCTCTGAGCAGCAGTGGCATGAAACTCTGACCCGACACGTCACACGCGTAAGTAACGCAGTCTTTTATTCACAGGGTTTACTAAGGATTTAAGTTTGTCAATCTGAAAAGTTTTCGTCGCTAAACGTGTCACAGCCCTCAATGTGTGTGTGTGTGTGTGTGGTGTGGTGTGTGTGAGAACGCCCGCCTGATGAGCCACAGCTGACTGACGGTGTGTCGTTTGTTGTTCTCTTATTCCGGCATTTTTCAGTCAGTGGCGAGGCGTAAATCGCATGTTTCTTCACAACAACTGTTTAAAACAAACCGTGCTTCTTATAAATGCCGTAAAGTAGCGCGTGTGTGTTTGTGCTGTCGTGCACGAGCAGTTCAAGCGGCGCGAAGTTTGAATCTGCAGGAGGGAAACCGCTCAGCGCGTCACCATAGCAACCATAACCGACTCCTGTTGCCAGAACCGAATGTAAAGATAATTGACAAAACAGTCTCCTAATTACACACAGTCTGAACGGTGGAAGATTTCTAAACCTGAACGCTGAATTTCTCCAGGCTTTTCTGATATTTCTGACTGAAACTTTCCATACTGGTATCTTTATTATTATTATCCTTACATCATTAGCACACGTGTAATGTGTCTGAATAGGCTAACGTTACATGACTTTAATTACCAACATAACATGTCTTATTTTATAACGTTAGCTGTAAATCATTGCCATATGGACATTACTTTGAACTAATTTCTGACAGACAGAATTGTATATAAATATATAAAAGCTTGTTTCAGCCACGTAATGGAAATATAAAAAGGTAACTTAATTGTGACTTTTATATCACAATTCTGACTCGTTGGCTCTTGCCGAAGCTCGTAACATGATGAAGCTCATTGGTTCTAATGCTTGAGCTTCTGTTTATCACAACTGATGTGTTGATGAAAGTTTGTGAATTAAAGCCTAAATTTAATCTGTTCATCATATAAAGCGAGCGTATCTCTTCAGAAAATTTGGACTAAACCACTCGATTCATATGGATTCGTTTTGCAATCTCTTTATGATCTTTTTGAAGCATCAAAGTGTTTAAATGTAATGCCTGTCTTGACAGCACAGCTTTCAACGGAGGGACAGAAATCTCAGATTTAATTTAAAATAACGTCATTTGTGCTTCATTTTGGGGCGAACTTACCCTTTAAAGTCGGCATGAAACATGATTGTGTCTGTGGGGAATTGATTGGATGGTTGTGGTTTGCTATTGGCTGATCTCATGTGAGTGACAGGTTGCCCCGCCCTCATCATCAGAGAAGAGAAGCTGCAAGAGGAATTTGATTCAAGATTACCAGAAAAAGAATTTATCACAATAATCATGATTCATGTGCACTGATAAATCATTTAGAATCAATGTCACCTGTAAATAAATAGTTGTAAAATGATGTATAAATGACATGCACAGATTAACTTTTAATTCCCTGTGTTGATTGACAGCACTGTTGGGTCCAGCGAGCGTTAGTTGAAGCTGAAGAGAATGGAGGGTGCGCAGGTTCCCGGCAGCGGCCGATTGGACCGGGTCTTTACGCCCAGGAGAGAGCGCCATCCCAACGGCACCAAAGCCACGGTTCTCCTGCACAGAGACCAGGCCCGGTCCAGGGACTCTATCACAGAACGGGCCGCGCCGCTAGCCTGGTGCGAGACGCCGAAGCTGACCCGGAAGGACGGGTCGCTCCGCAGGCGCTTGCTCGTGTCCCGCTCCTCATCCGACGGGAGTAAGAGTGGCTTCACCACACCGGATCAGCTGACCCGCGAGAGCTTCGACTCCCCGGACATCAGCCCGACCGGGCCTCTGTCTTACAGCACTTTAAAAGCGGATGACTTTGTGTTCTCGTGTCGGAAGCGGCGTCTTCTGTTCTCCCAGGCCGTCACGTCCACGCTGGAGTCGGGCAGGAGCGGCCTAACCCACACGAGCCTCACCGAACCGGACCCGGACGAGAGCATCATAGCCGGTCCTCCCAGCTCACCTCACACACACGACCTGACGGAGGAGAACTTCCCACACACACACGACCTGACGGAGGAGAACTTCCCACACACACACGACCTGACGGAGGAGAACTTCCCACACACACACGACCTGACGGAGGAGAACTTCCCACACACACACGACCTGACGGAGGAGAACTTCCAGTCCCCGGTGCGTGCAGGGAAGCAGCTTCTGGACACGCCCTCGGACACGCCCCCGGACACGCCCCTGGAGGACAGCGGCTTCAGCTCTCTGGGTCTGGATAAATCCCACGACTCCTCGGTGGACCATGACGGCTCGTTCCAGGAGCTGGTTCTGCCTGGCTCGAGCGGGCGGGAGAAGAGGCGCTCGCGGCTGGAGAGGCAGCGGAGACTGTCCACGCTCCGGGAGGGAGGCTCTCAGTCCGAGGACGGGCCCAGAGGCCCGCGGGCCGACCCGCACAAGGACGAGGTGTTCCTGGACGGGACGCCGCTGAGCGCCGCTACGCTGCAGATGCAGGATCTGTCGCTGACGCCGGCGCTACAGGCCGTGCTCTCCATCAGCCGCCGCGGGTCGAGCCTGGAGGACCTGCTGCTGGACCGGCCCGTCAGAACCAGCCTGCCGCTCTCGGGGCTCATCGGCCGCAAAATGGGCCTCGACAAGGTGGACGTGATCTCAGAACTGAGGATGAGGAACCTGAGACACGTGCTAGCGGTGATCTTGAGTCTTCTGTCTGCAGCCGACATCTACAGGTCAGTGCCGCAGGTATTCCTCATCGCTCGGTGTGTGTGAAGGGTTAATGACGTGCGATCGCTGCAGGTTCGGCCAGGTGTGTGAGGACTGGAGCGACGTCATCACTGAAGACCGGAGAGCCGCTCACAGGAGAAGATGCCACATCCGAGAGCTCAAGATCTCCCTAACACTGGAGGTGAAACTCTAGATAACTGTCCAGTACTGCACTGTCACATGACCTCATGTTGAATGTGAGTGGCGTCCAGTTATCATAAACACAGTAATTTTGCATCAAGTCTGCGCATGTTTTCACACAAGCTAATCACTCCCAAATATCAGCTTATTGAATTAACCCGGTTTACATGCAAACCCAGCAACGCAAGCCAACCGTTTCTACAGGATTTATTATTTAGTGACATCACAAGCCAAGCATTGGTGCATTTGTTATGAGAGATGTGATGTTAATCAAATGAATATCTTCGGCTGCAAGAGATCAGAACACATTTTTATCATTTCTTCAGTCTGAGAGTCGGAGTTTGCAATTATATTTCCTGCCTCCAAACACTCGTTCTTCAATTCGCAGTAAAGGCGCTTCACTCTCTCTCTCTTTCTCACTCACTCTCTCTTTCTCACACTAACACACATTCACACACACTACAGGGCTCCAGACTAACTTTTCCACTGGTTGCACTGGTGCTACCAACTTTCTCAGTTGGTCGCACCAGCATATGATTTGGTCGCACCTTTTTTTTTTTGCTACATGCCATGGGATTAATCAATGCATGCTGATGAATAGTGGTTTTAAGGGACCAAGGCTAGCAAAGGCTTTCTGGGTTGCAGCAGAAATACCTGTAATATATTAATTATCATTGCCAAATTTCAGGATTTTCATGGATTTTGGACAGTAATTTTAATCTGTAATTTTAAGCATTTTACATTTGAATTATATACAATCTATCTATTTACATTTGAATCATATTCTATCTATCTATCTGTCTATTATCATCTTTCTATCTTTTAAAAATCATTAAACATTCAAATCTATGCATTACATTTTAAAAGATTAGAGTATTATAATAAACTGATACAGATTTTTCGTTATCAAAGTTTATAGTTGTAACTAGAAGCAGAAATCTCACACTCTTACCTTCTGCATTTTATAATAATTTCCTTTTCCTCTGTCGAGCGATCATGAGAGTAATCGCTCGACAGAGGAAAATATAACCGCTGAAAAGACGTAGGAGGAAGGGGCTCTGTGTTTCGTGAGACCATTATTATCATTTTTATATGCCTTAATTCGTGAATTCGTAATTGGCGCGTTTCACCATCAGTGTGCAATGCGCGTGACGTCTACGTTCGTCAATAAATAAACTGCACGTGTCTTGCGGAAGAACATTGTAGACGGAACTTCTCTCCGTTAATGTCTATGGCGAGTCACGCAGGCACTGGGCTACTCCGCAGCCGAGACGACCCCGGGATAAAATAGTCCGAATATAAACACTTATTATAGGCGTACCGTAGTGATTCAGAATAAGTCAAAAACACGGTTTGGAAAATGGATTCATGATGTAGCCTACTCGTTCATTTTGAACATAAGTTACGGACTGCAGCAGCTGATACAACGGCGTTCTGTTGCTCAAGCGTCCACTCGCACAAATGCGACCACATAACATTTTAACTCGCACATTCTCAAAAAATGGTCGCATATGCGACCAATTTGGTCGCAGTCTGGAACCCTGCACTAACACACACTCACTCACTTACACTTACAATCACTTTCTCTCTCACTCACACACACACACACACACTCACTCACTTACACTCACTCACTCACTAACACTCACTCTCTCTCTCACACACTCACTCACTAACACTCACTCACTCACACACACTCACACTCTCTCTCTCTCTCACACACTCACTCTCTCTTTCTCACACACACACACTCACTCACTCACACACACAAACACTCTCTCACTCTCACTCACTCACTCTCTCTCTCTTTCTCTCACACACACTCACTCACTCACACACACTAACACACTCTCACTCACTCACTCATTCACTCACTAACCCTCTCTCTCTCACACACATCACTTTATGCTGAAGCATTTATGATTTACTCCCATAAATTAAAACAGGTTAACGCATGTACATGAACACACACTGCTGGGTTAAGAGCATGCATGGAAACACACTCAATGAATAATAATTTAGATTATTAAATTATTGAGGTCAGTCATCACACAGGTAATGTATGGTTGGTGCAGATAAATATAGGAGGTTGTTCTTCTGTCAGTCTCAGTACAGTGAAGGATGTATTGCTGAGCTTTCCTGTGTGTGTGTGTGTGTGTCTCTCTCTGTAGGGAGGAAAGCCGGCTCATGTTCCGGATGCGGACACCAGGGCGGCGCTGGTGTGCAGGCCGGCTCTGGGCAGCGTACAGGCTCAGGCCCGAACACCCCTCGCCCCCCCGCCCGTCACCCCGACCCACGCCAGCTCCAGACGCAGGCAGTTCCTGCAGGTGCGCAGCTCACCTGACCATGTTTATTCACCTGTGCTGATCATGCCAGATCTCTTCACCTGTGTGTCCCAGATGGGATTATACTCTGCACTATGTTCTCAACCATCTAGAGTTAAAAGGTTATTTATCATCAAGCATCGGAGTCTGTTTTGGCTGCGTAACGTACTGGAAGAGTGTTTATTTCCTAACGTTGAGAGAGCCTGCCAGTTCCACGCTAACAGCCTAGCGCGCACAACACCTGTCTGACAGTAAGAGCAGCATGTCAGCCTCCGATGACGACTCAGTACCTGAAAAGGAGCTACTTCAATAGTATGGAAGTGGTTTGGTTACAAGAGGTCAGACCTAGGGCTGAACGATTAATCGAAATCAAATCGCAATCGCGATTTAAAACGTTGCTATTAGCTAATCATAAAAGGCTGCGATATGAAAAATATGTCCCAGAGCAAAAGCATGACTGTCCTCTGTGTTCGTTTCGTTAATGAAATCTATGACGAAAAATATTTGTAGACAACCTTTTTTTTTTCTCCATGATAAGACGAGATGACACCAACGTCATTAAATGATAACTGTGACTTAATCACGATTTGTTCCCGGTGTTTTACTTAGTCTTTGCAATCTGGCAACCCTGCGCTCTCTCTACACTGCTGAAGCAGCGCTGGTGATCTGAAAACATGACAAACAAGTGACCTGCAGTTTAGCGATCTCCATTTGAGATTTTCTGCTTAAATGAATGATGATGTGTGTGTGTGTGTGTGTGTGTGTGTGTGTGTGTGTGTGTGTGTGTGTGTGTGTGTGTGTGTGTGTGTGTGTGTGTGTGTGTGTGTGTGTGTGTGTGTGTGTTCCTTCACGAGCTGCTCGCGCTGTTTGCTGCGACTAAATCTGCGATCAAACCTTCTCACTTGATGGATGGACTGCAATAAATCCATTTTGAAGGTTTGTTTGGATTGCTGCTGTTTGTTTACATTTGTACTAGACATTTTAGGTCAATTTTATTAGGTGACAATATTGTGCAGGCTCCAGAAGAGTTACAAGGTTAAATTACTTTAGTTATTGTTAAATTAAAATGTTAAGGAGCTGTTATACTTTTACTTAGGGAATATACAGGGAAAACACTAGTGACTTGTTCCAAGGCTACTTTTTTACTTTGCTTTCATTAGACTCATGCTGTGTCTCTGTCACTATTGCACCATAGTGCTGTTGCTGCCACCGTATGACAGTAGATTCACTTCGAATTAGATATTCTGCCAATGACAGTAGCTCATTGGGAAAGGATGGAAAATGCCCTTCATTTTGTTTGCACTAATAAATGCTGCTGACTGCCAGCTGCAATCAATACAATTTTCTTCTATATCGTCATAAATATCATTATCGCAAATATTCTTGAAATATCGTGATCAAGGTCCGAAATTAACACCCGCCAAGCGCCAAATGCGGGTAGATTTTCCGTTTGGCGAGTAAATCTCAAAAGGCTATCCGCCACACTGGCGGGTGAATGTTCATACCAAAATAGTAATGTAATAAAATGTTTATTACAATTGCATTTTGTAATGTTATAAAATATCTGGCATGAGGGCTCGGATTTGTTGTGTTTGCCAGTAGGGATGGGAACTGAACTGCTGCGCGTGTGACAGGGCGCAACTGAAGAACGAGCAGAAAGAGAGAGAGCCCCGGCGCGCGCGCGCGCACTCTTTCTCTTCGGAGCCAGGCGAAAGTATAAACAAGGCTTCACCGTCTCCTAAGCACAGTCTTGCTCTCTCTCCCTCCTTTTTTTTTTCTGAATTACCGCTGGGTGTGAATTGTGCTAAAATACCTTATCTTCTCTGAAAAGCGTTCCGCCCATTCAGCTGACATAAACCACACTTTAAATAAACGAAAAAACCTATCCAGTGATTAAATGTTTTCTGTGTTGACACAAATCTTGTGGGATGTCCTAGCTGCCGGGATAATCACACAACGCGAACACATCCGATAATGACACGTCCGATTCGCGAACTAATGACTCCTTTGAACCGATTCATTTTAATGAATGGTTCAAACAACTGATATTTCCAGTCCTTCAGTTACTGATCGGATCAGTCAGAGTGAATGGAGTAGAAAAATAGGCAGAGTAAAACTAATTTTTTTTGTTGTTGAAATAATTATAATATATTATTATTGCATATATTTTATTAAATATACAATTAATACATTTCATTTGTACAGAACTATTTTCATAGGCACCACCACAAAAATATTATTTTAATGTGTGTAAATTGTGTAATATGTGTGTAAATAAAAGTAAAAATGGAAAAAAATAGACCAGAAATATAATGACAATTTTTAAGTATACCTATATATAAATTAATGTATATGTGACACAAAAAGGCGGTTTATTATTTTGGCCGGTAAAAAATATGCTTGGCTGGTGGATTTTTTTCATCTACCAGTCCCCGTGGCAGGTGAGCCAAAAAGTTAATTTCGGACCCTGATCGTGATATAATTGAGGCTATATCGCCCACTCCTACCTGCCAGATGGTTCCCTGTTGGCTGGTACTAACGTCTCTCTCTGTGTGGACCCTCAGGTGGCAGAAACCCTGTTCAGTGACGAGCACCTGAAGCCGTGTCCTCGCTGTGAGCACCCGGCCCGCTGTCACTCGCTGCGCGCCGAGGGTGTGTGTAGCTGGAGCGACTGCCGCTTCCGCTTCTGCACCGCGTGCTCGAGCTCCTTCCACGGGGCCAGAGACTGCGCGCACCAGTCGGCCAAACGCCGGAGCCGGAGAGACGTGCTGCCGGGCAGCGCTCAGAGCAGACGCAACGTGAGGCGGCTGTGAGTGTGTGTGTGTGTGTGTGTGTGTGTGTATGCTTGCGTGAGAGTGTGTGTATTTTGCGTTCCTCTATGTGTGGGTTTGTTTTTAATTATGAACTTCTCATGAGTTTTGCACTTATGTACAGCATTCATTTTGGTCCTGTGAATCTACATGTATGTACATATTGCTCTTTACATGCTTGTTTTTATACATCGTTTTAAATAAAGCCCT